TGAACTACTTCTCCAGAGTTTTACGTGTTTTCCACTGATAGTCACAGGTCAATGAAGAAATAGCAACAGCAACTTGACTCTCCCCTCCTGAAACTCCCCCACAGCCCAGGAGAAGAAAACAAAAAAGCGCCTGGATGCAATCACTGAGGCAAAGGTCAGTAACGACTGCTGTTTGAGCTGGGAGTGAAATCAAAGCTTAAAAGATTAAGATGCATGCAAGCTGGCTGTACGGCACAAGTGGGGTAAAAGAGATGACAGAAGTCCCAGGCTCTTCATTAAACAGTGTCCTACCAGGCTATTAAACTGTTTAGTTTCCCTGTCACTGTGTAACACCAATTTCTCAGGCGTGTTTTCCCACTGACATAACCCAGAGCGCAGGGCAGCAGGTGATTCCGAGGCGCCTCAGCTGGCACAAGGGTTCCCTGACCTGGACAGAGGAGAACCTTCTGAATTTAGTTTATTTCCTCAGGTAAAAGAATCCCACTGAAGCAGAAGGAGGCAGATCAGACAGTCTGGATAGTCCTTTTTCACTCAGTATACTGAGGAATTATGCCTTGCCACTTACTAGACCTCTTGACAGAACAAATAACTGGAAGAACATCTGTAGAACAACCCAGCATTCTTGGTCCTCTGCTCCACCCAAGAGCAGCCTGGTTTTTTCTGTGAAAAGGTAAAATAGAGAAAGTTGAACTCAACTGAAAAACGCAGCAGTTAAACACTAATTAACAGATCAAGCCACAGATTCAAAATTACAGTTTAACGCTGGACTTGCACGACTTGCAACCCATGGTTATATTGCTCTCCTTTAAGCACCTTTCACCCTCCGTCCTCCTCTGCAACACTGCAAAAGGCGGTGGGTCAGTGCTGGGTGAGGACAGAGGAAGACAGGACAGCGTGCAGGGCAGAGCAGCAGAGCTGCAAAACTGAGACGAATCTGGATGGGGAATGTCCAAAGCCGAACAAGCTCTGCTTGTGCTGGCTTGAATGAGAGCCAAATTAAGCAAGGACTGCTTCCGAGAATCCCGTGTCCTTGCCACCAAGGATGGTGAGAGGGCAGTGGAAGGAGGGGAGAATTTGGGAAGCACAAACATGAGCGTGTGAGAAGACAGGACAGAGCGACTGAGGCCCTGCAAGCACAGAGAAAGCCTGACACAATCCATGCCTACACAGACAGCAGCATCCATGCCAGCATCTCCCCTGCTGTCCCACATGTATCCCCCAGAACGCCGCTGAACTCGTGCCTGAAGCACCCGCTGCCATTTCACCTCACAGCGTTCTCTGACTTCCTCGTTCCCCTGAGCCAGAAGGAAGCACAGCAGACACAGCAGCTAAAGAAATAACATTTGGGTTGTGTGACTCAGCAGCAGAAGGGAGCCACGCTGGTGTCCCAGGTGTTCAGATAAGGGAGAAAACAGCCACAGACACATCCAACCTGCACTACAAGCAGCAGGTGTGCCAGGATAACGTCAGCCAGGAGAAGTCAGGGCAAGAAGACACAGAGCAGAGGTGTGGGGAGAGGAGAAGGGATCGAGACCACTGTGGGAAAGCCGAATGCTCAAGAGACAGCCGAGGTGGATTCATGATCCCGGGGAAGAGTCTGGCTGGTGCAAGCTTTTTTCCTCTCAAGCCTCCAGAAAAGGAGAGTTGGGCTGTGTAGACACTGACATGGCCACTCAAACCAAGGCCAGCCCAGTAAGAAAATCCCTGTTCAGTGTGGAGCAGCAGGAGCAGCACCTGAAGGCAGGACCAAAGAGTGTGCCACAGGATGCTGTGCAACAGGGAAAGAACAGGCCTGTGCCAGCTCTAATTGGCCCCTAAAATGACAAGTTACTCTTTTCTATTTAATCTCTCTGTGCTTTGTTTCCCCATCTTTAAAACATCCCTTCATCTCACAGAGGTTTGGGGAAAATTAATTAATTGCTCATCAACTGCTCAGATACAATAGTGATGAGATCAGCAGACGTTCAAGAGGAAATTAATAATTCTGCCTCTGGAACAGGGCTTGAATAGAGCCTGGTAAATAAGGCAGAAGGGCACAGAGTGAACAATAAAGAGAAACAAAATCCTGAATAGCTGCTCATTAAGTGAGCAAAGTCCATTCTGTGCCTGAGGGAGGCAGGGACCCCACGGAGAACCCAGCAGGGGACCCTGTAATTAAAGGCTAGATAATAATGAACACACACCGGGGGGGCAAATTACGGGTGCACAGGGAACCCCAACGCTGCTATTTTCTAACTTTTCCGTGTTTGACTTTCAACCCTAACAATGCTCTTTTAATGCCTTTTTTAGGTGTGCAGTGTCCTACAGAGGTGTGGGCATCGTACTTCCCTTCTCCCGTTCCAGCAGTGGGATGTCTATTCTGATTTATTCTGAAAAGTGTGCACTTACAGCCATTAAAGGCTTAGAAGAACAAACAATTTGAGTTGGTGCTCAAGCAATGCACACCAGCTTTTTGGGGCCGTGGGCTTGTTTCTTTTTCTAAGCAAGGTAACCAACCCGCTATTTTCTTAAGCCAAAGAATAATACATCCAAACACAGCACGCACAAACTACAACCTAATTCAAAAATAAAACATAGCCCAGAGAGAGTTGGTCAGTATTTTACAATTCAACCATTTACCAGTCAAAAACCATAAAAACCAAACCAAAAGAAGGCTTTCTGAAAGAGTGCTGATGGAAATGCTGCAGAGAGCCCCTACAGGTCTGAGTTCTGGCATTCCCAGCCCATGGACAATACATCTGAAAACCTGAGGGCTCCAGCTGCTGAGCTTACAGGTCTGAGCCCAGAGAAAAAGCCCTGGAGCACAGCAGCAGCTTTGACCAACGACCAGACCCCAAGCTCACCTGGCAACTCAACACTGAGATCCAGGCCCCCAGCTGAACTGAAATCCAACCACCAAACAAATTCAGCACCTATGTTAGTACCTCTGTAGTGACACTGTTGATAATAAAACCAAATTCCTGTTAACACTAACACAAAACAAAAAGATGAATCACTACGATAAAAGGGAATGACTTTTTGGTGAAAGACTGGGAGTGAGAAAAAATATAAATAATAAACCAAACCAGAGTTTATCCAGAACATTGTAATTATTGACACTGAGGTTTCTTATTTGCTCATTAAAATCACAATTCCAAATCCATCATTCCAGTGCTCAGCCACCCTCTGAGGGTTAAACTGCAGCAAACAAGTGTTAAGTGACTTGACTAAACCATACACACATCACCCCTAGAGTCAAGGAAAACAAAGCTGGGACAAATCAGGCAAAATCTCAGTTCTTGGCTTGAAAGAGATGTGCAGACTCCACTCAGGATGACTCTCAGCAGCCAGTCCCCAGCTCGGACTCCTGAACGCTCCCCCTCCTGGAAGGTGAAGGCATTTCTGGGAGCACTCGAGCTGTGTCACATCCTTCAGAACCATCTCCCACCTGCAAACAGGCTCTCGAGAAGACTGACATCCTCTGCCAACCCCCAAACTCCAGCAAGCCTTTTCCACCGAAAGCTGTGATTTGGAGCCAGTATTTTTAACAGGTTTGAAGCGTGCAGTCTACACTGTGGAGAGTAAAAATCGGAAGAACTGGCTCCTCTGCCACTGTGCTAAACAGTTAATCACCTTCATTGGCTTGAAAAAAGCAGCCTGAGCAAGAAGTCCTACTGATTACAGGAGAACACCCCTGGGGAACACAGCTTCATGCCCCGGGAAGGCTTTGGTCACTAAAAACTGACCTCGATCAACTGGGCTTTCACGGAGTTACAGCAGAGCCACTAACACATCGAGCATCTGCAGCTTCCAGCTGCATGTTCCCATGCAAATAAGGACACTTAGGCGGTTAAAAGGTGTTATTGTGGCCTTATCCCGAAGCCTCCTCACAGTGAAAATGTTCACCTTCATCCTGTAAAAGGTCACGGCTACTGAAAGTAAAATTGGATCACAAGTTTTCCCAGGAAAGCCCAATCTCTCTGCATGCTTTCTCATACTGACCAAGTTATTCAGGTCCCAGTTCTTCTCCTAGAGCCAATTATCCCATTGCCCTGCGTTGGGAACCTCACCCTGCTTCTCCTCTTTACAAGTAAGTCTGCACAATAACACATCAAAGGACATTTATGAGGTTGTAAAATACCGGGCAAGTTGGCAAGTGCGAAGGTGAATGCAGATTCAGATATTTAATTATACAGTCAATCATGTCTGCAGTTCAGACAGCAGCTCAGATCTCAAAACTTAATTACTTTAATTTCAGATTAATAGCTTGTGTTGTCATAAGGAGTTTGACACGCTGGAAAACAGTCAGAAACGACACTGGGAATTGATCCTGACTGCTAAGGAGGAAAAACATTGGAGCATCCGTGGAAGTGTTCAAAACTGACTGGGCCAGGCTCTGAGCAACCTGACCCAGCTTTGAAATCAGCCCTGCTTGGAACTGGGGGAGTCAGGGTGTGAGGGCTTTGGATCAGAGGCCCCCAGAGGTCCGTTCCCACATACCCCATTCTGTGCCTATGGACACAAACGACGAGACAAACCACAAGCAAAACTGTATCTCAATCACACAACTTCCCAAGCCCTGCCAATCACCCACATGCACCCCAAGCCATCTTGCACAAAGGCAGCTGCTCTGGAGCCACTCCAGGAGCACCATCTCTCCCTGGAGGTGCTTTGCAAGGCTTCCCACCCTGATTTACCCGCCAGAGGCACCGACACCTCCTGGCTCCTCCAGCCTGAAAGGGCCCAGTACAGCCATCACTACGTGGCTTTCAACAGCTACCAGGAGGAGGTGTTAAATAGCCAACTTTTATTCCTTTGACCACCTACATCTTGGGCAGCCTAAAACACCAGAGCTGACGTTTGCTGTTCTGCTTTTCATTTCGAAAACGCGAGAAGAATAGCACAGGGCCCTGTTAAGAAGAACAAAGCCAGAGGAATTTGTGGCAAGGTTGTGAACCTGGCATCTGATTTCACAGCACAGGGTGCAGCAGGAACCGTTAGGAATCATTAAATGCTCTTACCTGTCCTGCAAAAAGCCCACACACGCCAATAATACAGAGAATGTTAAATACAGCTGAGCCTACAATGGTTCCAACGCCCACATCTCCTTTTGTGATAAAAACACCTGAAAAACAAGTTCAAGGGAAGCTGTGTAAATTGGAAAGAGCAGAATTTTTTCACAAAAAAATTGCAGACCTCACAACCCCAGTAATGAATCTAAAGGCAGGCACTGGTTCTGCCACTTTTTCTTATATTTAATAGGGCAACCTGCAGAGACTTGCTTTCTGAGGGGACCTGGACAGATTGTCTGATGGAAACCAGGTACCTTAGTCATGTCTAAGTTACCAGCCTCCTGGTCTGGTGACCATTATGGCAATACTCATCACAAAACACTGTAAGCTCTGTGGGAGCAGCTGGTTGGACACAAATTTGCAGGAAACTGTCTCCCATAAAACATTCCTTCCCCAGTACTCCCCATATCCCCATCCCAACAGGCTTCAGCAGGGATGAAGCTTCAGTAGAAGTTGGAGCTGATTCAGAGTCATCTGGCCATTAGCTACTTCCAAGCTGAATGATGCCTCTCAGGATGAGTTATGGGGCTCTTTTCAGAGCTCTTCTGTCACACTTGGTTAAAATTGGCCAGTGAGGCTAAAGGTGAGGGAGATGAACTGACAGACATATGCATCATGGTGCTGCACAAAATCCTTTCCTTAGGAAGCCAGCCTAAATATAACACTCCATCTCCTGCTAGCTGTCAGTTTGTTTAAATTCATCACTTGCTTTTAAGGTTCCAGCAGTATTTATCTGGCCAGTGCAGTTTAGGTATGTTTTCCAACTTCATCCTTTTCTCAGAAACACAGAAGCACTCACCTGTCAAGTGACATGCATCTGGATTACACCACAGCAGGATAATGATCTGACTATTAGGGTTTTTCTAAGTTGCCTGAAGGAATCTGGTTTTATTTTCACCCTGCTACTGCAGTCCCCTTAACTGAAATACAGCCCCAACTTTGTCCAATTTAAGTTCCCAAATGTTACAGCTTTGCTCGTGTGCTCGTGTAAGGAGATCTCTCTGCAGAGCACACAGCTTTGTGTGAATTAATTCGTGCTCTGCATCTGACTGCTGTGACTCAAACAGGAGCGTCTCCTGGAGAAAGTATCTAAACTGAAAGCTAATTCTCCTTGGTGATGGAGAGCTCTCCATACCCTCCCAGTCACTGCCCTGATGATCCCCTGCCAGCAGAGAAGTGGATGATGGAAACCAGGAAACTGCACAGAACAGCACCTTTGTACAACCCTGACTGCAGTCCCCGCTCAGCTTACGGCTCCGGAAGGACTTCAGCTAGTGAGGACTCCCCACAGTCAGTCCCAGGCGTGCCCACGAGGGAAGGGCCTGGGGTTGTAACAAACGTTACAGGCACGCAGCAATCCCATTTCAACTCTGGAAAGCAGCCAGGGCACCGCCAAGGCTGGGGAAGCAGCAGGTTATAGTTACCTATGACAGATGTAAAGAGCTCGGGAGCGGAGCTTCCCGCTGCCATGAACGTCGCCCCAGCCACGTCCTCGCTGAGATGCAAGCGCTGCAGAGAAACAGAGGCACTGGTTACAACACAGAGCAGCTGAAGGAACCCCACTGCAAACGTCAAACTGTCTGCCCAGAGCGGAAACTTGTGTAAAGTTTTACGTTAAAAAAGGTTAAGTACAGGGGAAAAGTCATCACGGGCATTGGCTACCTAAGTCAACATCTCCTGGCAGAGAGGGCAGGTTGTGCCTGTGCCACCCTTTACACTCTAGACAGTGGGATAGCTGCACCACTCATGGCTCTGTCTGCCCCACGATCCCAGCAATACACACCTGATCCACTTTGGCCCATAAAGGGCAGGGCTGCGGCTCAGCCTTGGTTCACCCCCAGCCACCTTCCCTGGCATCACTTAAGCCTTGGACATTTACCCTCACCTCACCCTCTTTCTCTTGGATCACCATCACTCACCTCCTACACCTGTCCCCCAGCAGTACCCAGGGACTGCCTAAAACAGAGACTTCTGGAAGGGAAAGGACTCACTGTTCTATGAAAACTTCATCAGCACATGTTGCTTCCAAAGATTCACTTGGCTAATCACGCTCTTAGTGTTGTCTGCATTCCCACTGCTCCATATGCAGCACCAGTGGCTGCTCAGCAGATGCCACAAGGCTGCTGAGGACCACGTGCCTCACTGGCACCTTCTCCTGTTCAAAGTGGAGGTAAAACCAGCCCCCCAGACAGCCACCAGCTCTGAGCTGTTACTGCACCAGCCCCCCAGACAGCCACCAGCTCTGAGCTGTTACTGCACCAGCCCCCCAAATAACCACCAGCTCTGAGCTGTAACTGCACCAAGCTGGGTGTGAGGCAGCAGCTGCCCTATGAGCGCAGGGCAGATCCACAGCTGGAGCAGGAGGATGAGCCGAGGGTGCTGGGAGGTGTCCCTGGCAGAGCTGGCTCCTGGAGGCAGAGCCCCCAGCCTGGCAGCAGAGAGGAAACCTCCCTGTCCCCTCGTCCCTCCGCAGCACTGCAGGGCTTCTCTGCAACTTCATCATTGGCTCTGCACAGAGACAAGACTGCAGAAATCCTCCCACCAGCCTTATCTGGATTGAAGGTCCCACAACGGCAATCCTGGCCCCTAAGGGAAGGGAACCCTATCCACTCACCACACACAGGCAACACTTGTATGTAGGTTATGGGGACAAGGTGAAAGGACAGGATGTGCCCTCACCAGCAATGCTTTTTAAGCAGAAACCACAGCATCGCTGCAGTGCTGTAGAAGCTTATGGAACTGGATTAAACACAGTTTTATGGAAAATTATTTCAAACAGGATCAAACCTACTGTGGAAGAGTTCATGAGACCAGAAGTAGATTCCCCAAAGGGCAGGTTCTTCTGCAGGCTGCTCTGTGGAACTATGGAGACAGCCATCCTACAAGAGCTGCTGCAACACACGGTGTCTTTTGAAAGCAAAGACAATCAGCCTTTGTAACGTGACCCATGCCTTTTCCTGTGCTTTCTTGAGCGCTCACATCAAGGACAAACCATGGAAAGCTGGATGTTTTGAAGACAAGCCATTCTGGACTAATGAAATCAAAAGTAGTTGGACCAGGAAACAGGACTGCACATTTCTTTTGCTATCATCTAATTACAGAAGGGTTTAATTATGCATAATCTACATAAAAGGGCTTGAATGCCCCCAAAGGTCACCTATGGAGAGAGAATCAAACAGGAGTAATAGGAACAGTAAAAGTCTGATCCATTTATATGACCCATTTTGATAATTTCTAGTGACACAGCACCTCTCATCTGGGCAGTCTGATGTTCAATTGCAAAGCCTTCTCTTGCACACACAATTAAATAGAACTTGTTATTATCATCTTATTGGTGGTGCTGGGTAACGGAATGGTTTGGAACCACTAAAGCACACGAGGAACTGTTATGTACCATTGAGAAGATAACAAATAACCAAAAAGCAAAGATCTGGGCAAATGAAAACTGCCTTCTAGGGCCCAGGTGCAAAAAAAGGCTCGCACAGCAGGGCGCTGAACCACAAATATCAGGTTAGTTTAGAGATGACTTCCATCAGAGCTGTCAGCACAAATGACTTCTCCTGCCATCTCTGACACCTCTCCCAGGGCTAGGCACAGCCCATGCCCTGACGAGTGGCACTCACTGCCAGGAACACGGGCAGGCTCTCCTCCAGATGACACAGACATCTCACTGCCAAGACCAAACCGTATTTCTACATGCAAAGATTCCATTGCCTGGAACTGACACAGAGAGGGCTTGCAGTCGCTGTGGGCACATGGTCTGTGTTCTCTCTGCAGTGTCTGACCTGATTTAGGCTGAAATGTACTCCTTGTCTTCTAAAATTTCAGCATGCCAACCTTAGCAAAAGAGGGACAGAGTCCCTTGCAATTGCTGGGAGCATTCACAAGCTTCTTGACAGCTGACCCAGCTGTCCCAGCTGCTTTACAACTTACACCCACACAACACAAGGTGTGAGGAGACTCGGGTCTTCCAGCACCAGGTACAAGACCTGCGACTTCGACTGGGGCAAATCACCAGAGGTTTTAGTTTGTGTCAGATAAGGGTGTTTCTGCAGAGACATCTACAAAGACACACAAACGAGGCAGCAGCAACTCCCCCAGTGTGAGTGGCTGGAGCACCCGGAGAGCCCGTCAGCCCGTGAGCTGAGCCCGCGCACACAGGCCGCACCGAGCAGCTACACGAGCAGCACGAGGAGCACTGCAGGACAGTGAATACACCGCCATCACACCCTGAGGCCCTGCAGAGCTGCTGCACGAGCAGCACGCGAGCCGAAGGAACATCTTCCCGTACTTACTTCACAGATCTTCTCCAGCGAAGGGACAAAGAAATCATCGCAGACGATCGCCAGCGCGTAGAACATGTACACGGCCTGCAGGAGAGGAGAGCAAAGGCTCAGTCTGGACACTGCCAGGCAGGACTGAACAGCAGCATCCCAGGTTTGGTTTGGCACATTTTCAAAAAAATGAAATGCTCTTGCGAGAACTTATGGAGCTGTCCGGGATTTAACTGAAAGACCCTATTTATCCAAAAGTTCTTACAAGCTATCAAAAACTGCCAACATTTTATCATCCCTGTAAAGACTGCTTTTTTTAAAATTTTCTGGACACTGCTAAGCCACACTGAAATATTTTTGCCTTCCTTTTTTCCCCCCATTGCACAGTGCAAGGTTTTTTTTTTATCACTGTGGTCTGTGAAAATCCAAACCTTGGAGGAGTAATTTTTGAAATCTGGTGTTCTGAAAAAGGGGAAAGGAGCTTGTTTTCTGTAATTTTAGTGCTCTGCCATGTCACCTGAGTCCCAGTGGTAAATCTTGCTAAACTTCATACAGGAACAAACAAAACCCAAGGGAGAACACAGGACTCAAAAGGACCTCGAGCCAATCAGCTCTTCAGTTTCATGCCAGAAGCATTTAATCCATGTTTCTGTACTGTGAACAGAACGTGTTGGGGCCTGATCTCTGCCCCGAGAGGCAGATGGCACAGTGTGGCTCCCATCCATGCAGCAAAGCCCTGTCCTCCCTCATGGGGTAACCTGGTCGATACTGCCCAGATCCTCCAGCTCTGCTTGTTGTTGAAGTCCTGCAGAAGCTCAGGTGATGGGAGGAGACCAGAGTACTTTTTTCTAGAGGGAAAGCAGCAATAAAAATGCCCACCATGTTTTTTTCTTGTTTTAGCTTTCAAGGAACAGGTGTAAATCTCCCAACCCACCACACACCCAGATTCTAACTTGCCAGAATTGCAATTTGGCTGCAAACAGCCAGTAATTACTGTAAATCTCAGCCATGAAAACTTTTCAAGCTCGAAAATAATTCAAGTGTATTTTTTTCAGGATTAGAGATGGGAATTTCATCAGAACAAATTATTTTGACACCATCTGGAAGAACAGGCACTAGACTGTCACTTAGGACAGTTTCTGTGCTTCTCTGTCACTCCTCATAAACGTGAATAAATGTAACTTGGCCTTTTTGAAACTCTTGCGCTGCAAAACGCTCCCGAGGACTACAAACGTAAGCAAAATTCCAGGTCCCCAACTCTGCTGGATGCAGCAAAGATCCTGATCTTGCAGAGGGAGCACCAGCTGCTGACACGATGCCAGCTGTAAGAACAGAGACAAAGGAAGCAAATGGCTCGCAGGCATTGTGCATCGTAGGAAGAAGGATCAGAAACGGCCCCAGAGAGTTGTGTGGCCAATTCCCATTGAAATCCGGTGGAGAGTGAGCGCCTGGATTTTGATCTGCTAATCATATTAATTTGCGGTGGGTCATGCCAGTGTTTTCCTTCCCCAATACACAATAATGCCTTTCAAGAACACTCATCTGTCACAAAAATGGCATCTCATGGCATTCTGCTTATTAGAGGGCACAACCACAACCCTAAAGGGTGACAAGGGAATTCTTCCCCACCCATGCTTTCGCATTTGTAGGATCAGGTACAAGGGAAAAGGCAAAAAGGAGAGTGAAATGAGTAAGGAACAGAAAAACAAATGTGAAGAAACTGCCCCTCTGTTCTTGGTGATCCCCCTGGAGGAGCAGGGAATGGCAGCTGCTGCAGTGGTTGGGAGCATGGAGCCAAACCCACTGCCCTCCTCGAGAGCATCCTGGGTGACTTCAGCAAATGTCAGCCCTGGGTTGAGAGCACCGACCAGGTTGAGCCTGACCAGGCTGAGCCCACGCTGACTTGGACGTTGGAGCATTTACTGCAATGACCTCACTGCTGCCACACACCTGGGTTTGGCTGTGAGGCCTCCCTAATCTTACAGAAGTGGCTTGAGTGCAATACAGTGTAAAGTGGCAGAGTCTAAGGAGTATCTGGCTAAAACCCAGTCTTGTCCACAGACTAAACCACTGGCAGCTACCCCCCATCAGTGAACACAAGGACAGTAACTGTTACTTCCTTGGAGTTCTTTCGGTTTTTTTGGTGGGGCTTTTCTTGTTTGTTTGCTTTCAAAACGAACAAAACAAAGCAAGGTTTAGAGTTTGGGCCAGCAGGAACAACACAACCAAAACATTTAATTTCATGTCAAGTCAGGCTCCCAGTGAGGGAGCCCAGAGACCAATGCAGGCTATTGCATGTGAAAAGGAGGAAGGCAGCCAGCACCAGGGCAGGCCAGTCTGCACTGTATTTATTACCCACGTGGGAAAAGCCAACAGGATGGCTGCGATGCTGGGCAGCTTCCATCTAAGTTCACCTGAGATTCCAACAGGGAGTTTCGTGGCTTTTTCCCTCAGCACACCCCCCCAGTCCTCAGAGGTGCCGTGGGAGCAGCAGGATTGGTGCAGGAATGGAAAGGAGCGGGGCAGTGTCTTTAGCCAGGCAATATACTTTAAAGACACTCTTCCTCCCCAGAAGGACATTAGAAAATTAGGAAAATGCAATGGCCCTGCGTAAAAGGATTACAAATGCCCAGTTCAGTATTACATTAGGACTGATTTTAAAATTATGATTCTAACAAAAAAGCATCAGAGAATAATTGCAATCTCTGCATCAAAGGATCTTAAGTATCTTACTAGAAATACCTGTTCCATTGCACAGGATGAACCAGTCATTTTTCACATTTGTCCAGCAGTGTTTCACCTTCCCACAACAGTCTTCATACTCAAACTAAAACTCGCTTCCCTGAACTAAAATAAGCAGCTTTTCACAAGAGAGAATAATGCTGCAGGAGCCAGCAATCCCCAGAGCCCTGCCTTCTTCCCAGAGCGCTGGGACAGGCCGAGGTGACTGTCCCTGCTGCTGCCCCACAGACCCCCTGCCCTGGGGGGCAGGCCCAGCCAGGGGCCACCTCTGAAACCAAGCACAGGGCCTTCCTCAACTCCGGCCACGTTACAAGCCTGCCTAAAACTCCGTTGTTGGAGAGAAATTAAAAAGGCCCACTCCAACCAGGGTCCCCCAGAGCCCAGGTTCCCGTGGGGCAGCAGCGAGCTGCGGCACAGCATTGCCATGGCAGGGACAGGCAGGCACCGGGACAGGCACCGGGACAGGCACCGGGACAGGCACCGCCCGAACGAGACAGCTCTGGCTGTCCAAGGGAGATGGGGCTGGGCTGTGGCTCGCTGCAGAAATAGATAAAGACAGGATGCAGCCAGGGCGACCTACATTTGCCAGCGCCTGGCGAGGAGGGAGGCAGGTGCCTGCTGGAGCCCCCCGTTCCCATGGCTACACGGAGCCACGGCACACCAGGAGCAGCCACTGCTCCTCCACCCCCTCAGCGTGGAGGGCACAGCTCTGCCCAGGGCCAGGCTCGGCCCCGACCACGCACAGGCCCCCTCACACTGGCAACGCAACATTCCCCGGCACCACATTCCAGATTTGCCAGAGAAAGCTGGGAAAAGGAGGAGCAACACCGTACTGTCAAAAAGACCAGGATAACACACAGACCCAAACCCTCCATTCTTGGCTGTCAGCAAAAACCTTGGGAATTCCTCAGCAAAGCCATTTCCCCTCCCCATCTTGAGGAGGTAACGGGGGGCCATGAGCACGGCAGGGCTGAAGGTCCACATGGGCACCAGTGCACACCAGCTGGAACTAACTGAAAACCAGGAAAATGCTAAGAGAACAACTAGACAGCCTTCCAGAACCTAAAGGGGCTGCAAGAGAGCTGGAAAGGGACTTTGACAAGGGCCTGGAATTACAGGACGAGGGAGAGTGGCTTCCCACTGACAGAGAGCAGGGTTAGATTGGGTATTAGAAAGAAATCCTTCCCTGTGAGGGTGGGGAGGCCCTGGCACAGGTTGCCCAGAGAAGCTGTGGCTGCCTCATCCCTGGAAGTGTCCCAGGCCAGGTTGGATGGGACTTGGAGCAACCTGGGAAGAGTGGAAGATGTCCCTGCCCATGGCAGGGGAGCTGGAACTGCATAACATGTAAGGTTCCTTTCAACCCAAACCAGTCTATGATTCTACAAACTACAATGTTAAGCCCTCAAGTGCTGGGGAGCTCTCAGGTTGCAGACTGTATGTTTGGTCCTTTAGCAGGGAACAGCACCAGACTCTCAAAATCCAGATCCTGGCCCCTCCAAACTGAACAACCCAAAGCAGTGACTTAGCAGGGAGTTACTGCCCGTGGCAGCATGCCCTCTTCTCAGAGGGGACATGGAAATAATGAATAGCAGTGAAGCAATCAGTTAACGAGCTCTGAAGAAGTATCCAGGAGAAATTAAACACCATGGCTCCAAACCTGTAATATGGCCTCGCTGGCCCACTTTTTCTTTAAACCAAAGTATTTTCAGCTCGGCCCTAAAACTATTGCTGAACTGCCTAGCTTCTCCTAGATTTTTCCAAGTGTTTAGGGCTTTACTTTCATCTTTGTGAAGCGCTAGATCATGTTTAGTAATTCACGCAGCCCCACCCTGAGATCTGCTGGGTCTTTGTGTTTTCACTTTATTAAACAGCAGAGACCCAAGGCCCCAGTGATAGCTTTTGTCCCGTTTCTCTGGCTGCCGTTAAACAGCTTTGCCTTGATGTCTTTCAGAAAGAAACATGAAAGTATGGGCAAAGGGGCAGAGAAGAAAGGACAAGTTTTTACTGAAATGAAGAGAAACTGTTTAAGGGGAGGTCAATAAACATGAGAAGCATGATGATGACCTCTAATCATCACTGCATTGTTCTCCCTACCACTACAGAGCCCCTTTTACAGGCTGATTTCCTCAAACCCACTGAGAAACCTCAATGGAGACAATGAAACTCTGTGTCTGTATCCTTTTTTTTCTCCAAAAAGGGCATTTCTGCACATGCTCTGATTTCATCACATGTTTGGTAACTGTACTGCTGGGAGGTAAAAAACAGATTTAGAGGTTCATCACCCCAGTACAGAGACAACCCCTTTCAACACAGACTAGAGGCAGGTTGCTAAATGCTGACAGATGTCTATTTTCTACAGGTATCATTTTTTTTCTTTGACAAGAGGTTGTCCCCAACTACTACAGTGCTACAGGCTGGATCCAGCTGGGTCCTGCACCTCAGGGACACATAAGACAGAGTATGGTCAAGAAATGTTCTTAAGTCAACCAAACTGGTGTGGAGAATGATGGCACTGGTGGAGCGAGGCAGCTGCCCTGCTGCCTGCCAGAGGGGGAGAACCCGAGTGGGCACTTCTGAGGGGACAGCAGATGCTTACTTCTACTTCTCATTAAGAACAGATTTTTCTTTTCATTCTGAAGTAGATGGTTCATCAAAAATCTCAGTCCTCCAGACTCCATTTTGATACATGTTAAAGGCATGTTCAGCTTATCCAGAACGGAACTCATATATGAATTTTTGGGAGTATTCTTTTGGGTGCTAGAAAATCCAGCTCAGGTCCAGTGCTCACTTTCCAAAACATCTCAAAGCTCAGTGTTCCCATGGAAACTTGGGATCCTTGAGCTTGCCAGGCACAGTCAATAGCAACGTTATTCAAGAAATTTTTGCAGCCATTTAGCCAAAATAAAATCCTAACACAGTGGGCTCACATTACAACATAAAAAACAATCTAATTCATACTTTAAAAGAAATCATGAATCACTGCACACAGCTAATGGTGACTGCTCATTTCAGCTAAGAATTATTAAAAGCTTTTAAACATTCACTAGAAGTGGGTATTTACTCGTCTGCCTAAGAATGCCTCTAACCCCTGAGATGTACCGACTTGGCAGTTCCTCCTGAACACAAACAACATGAAAAAAAGAAAAGAATTGTCTTCAACTACCTAAGAGTCAAGGAAAGGACCTGGAGGGACAGTGCTCCCCTCTGTCAGAGCACTGCAGCTGCTGACCACAAGTCCCCCAACGCCTGCTGAGTGTCCAACGCACTGACAGACCGGCATTATTTAAATAACTTTATCCTGAATATCTTTCACTTAGGCCTTAGCCATGCACACCAATTACACTGACTTCTCTGGGGCAGAGATCACAAAACTGCAAGCGCAAAATCGCACAGATTTATGGTATTAGTAAGGTCTTTAAAACAGCAAGTATTCAAGTCTTCTTGGCCCACTTCTGAATTTTGAGGCAAACCCCTTGCCCACCCAATGTCCTCCAGAATTCCCACCCTACAGCTGATAAATGAGGAGCTGCAATACTTTCTTTAACAAATCCAGGAAGAAAAGCTCACTTTGGAAACTTGTGTGCTAGGGGGAATTCCAGAGAAACAAACTTTTTTGTTTCTTTCTATTTTGGATACATTAATGTAGTTGATCATCATCTTTTAAACAGAAAGCTGTCTCTAATGTCTTTCTCCTCCAGCTGTCATAAGGGATGTCACGAGGCTTTCTGGGGGTAAGACTTCGCTTATTTTTGAAGGCAATGCCACGAGTGTCTCCCCTGGACTGGCCAAGCCCCCAGTGTCCTCCTGCTCAGGGCAGAGGGCAGAGGCCACAGCTGCCCCCCGGCCTCAGCAAAGCTGGCCTGGCTGGAGGAACACAACAGGTAGAGCTGACAAAGAAAGCTTTCCAATCCACGTAATCCCATGGATAGTTCTGCGCCAACATCACTATCTCATATATTACAGAGTGTTCCAGAGTTGCTCCTTGCAGAAATCTTGTATCTTTTAGCTCCCTGACATTCGGTTTTCATCTTATGGATACCAAACTCTTCCATTTTCAGAGACAACTTTCTCTTTCCTATGGACTGACAGTGTCTACAGAAGAAATGAAAGCAGGAAACAAATTCAAACTATTCTTCCATTATTAAGAGAACTCCTTTTTACTAGAAGATCCCAAGAGCACAAACTATCACATCCCTGACTGCATAGTCCACACAGGAGAGCAAAATGCACCAAAGAGAAAATAACTTCAGTCAAAACACTGGAGCACACTGAGCCCTGTCCACAGCAACAGGAGAAGAAAGGCAAAGTCACAACACTTACACAAAGGACGTGCAGGACCACAGCTCCATGTCTCCTGTCCTCGTTCGTGAAGATGTCATTGGGGAATTCGTGGAGAGCTGCAAAAAGTGGGGTGGGGGGGAAAGAAAGCTCAGATGTTTAATCAGCTACTCGAAACCACCGCACGGCTGTGAAGTAACACAGCGAGAAGTCGCCCGACCAAGCGCTGCAGTTACCACGCCAGAGGCTCTGTTTCACCTCCCTGTAGCTCAGCTTAGCCTGTCCTCGGGCAACTGCCTTTCCCCAGATGTTTCCTGGGCAATTTGCTTCTGTGGCCACCACCCAGGGAGGCCTCGAGGGGGGACAGACACACCCCGAGGGCCCAGCGCAGTCCATGGCCTGGGCTGCAAACACGGTGTCACAGGTAATTTAAAGACAAACTCCCTCCATTTACTCCAATGCTTTATTACTGCTCTGGACATTAACTGGATTATGAAGTGCTTAAGGACAGCCTGCCAATTAGTGCAGGAATGGCTGTTGGTTAAAATCTGAGGAGCCAGTGTGAAGACGATGCTCTGGCACCCGAGTGCTCCCCAGAAATTCCAGATTTGAATTACCCAACAACAACTGAAACAACGCCTCTCTGCTAATGGTCAGTCCTGCACATTCGGCCTTCAGTTGGAAAAAATCAAACTGTGTTTTTCCTGGCTTTCACATCATTAATAAAGCTCCAGCAATTGGAATTTAATTAGCAATGCCACAGATGATTAAATGGAAAAACAACCCAGCTCTCTCTCCCAGTTTTGCTGCCTCTGAAGCAATAACTGAGCAGAAAGGAGCTACATCTTAATTTTATTACTCATGCAAGCAACAGCTCTACCCAGGCAATGTACCTGAGGAGGAAAACACTTTTTTACACACAGTAATTTCCCCAAAGGCTTAGGTTAATACTTTTAACTGTATTCCTATGGATTGTTAAATGTTATAATGAGACCTAACAAACTAGCAGCAGCTACTGGACCAGGACAGTTGGCACTTTTAAAATATATATAATGAAGGAACATCAGCAACAACTTTCTCTTTTATGAGAACCAGCAATACCTTTGACATTTTATCACCAGTCAGGATTCACCTGCCAGGAGCTGGAACTTCTTCCTTCTGAGGCAGAACTAGCACTGCCAGGCTGCCTCCACCCTCCCACCCCAGCACGTGTGCTGTGCCTGGGCTGCCAAAGGCTGCCAAAACCTCCTTAGGTGTGCAGCCTGAGGAACCAGTGAGGCAGGTACCAGCACAAGGACAGGTGTTAGAAAAACCCCAGCAAGCAACACAAAACGCTACGGAAGCTGGAAGACAATGAGGTTAAATCAGGTGGAAAGGATTCATCTCTCCTCAGCAAAACTTCCTTGTGTGAAAACCAAGTGCTGACATCACAGCTTTAAGGAACACTCCAGGCCACAAGCAAGGCAAACAGAGGGAGGTCTGCCTGCAGCAATGCTCAAAATGGTTTGCTAGCACACACACACACACACACACTCTCATGTGTGTGCTTCCCCCTCCCTCCTGCAGCTGCCTCTGAGATCTTACATTCAATACAGACAGATGATAAAAATCCAATCCCTTTATCAAGAGTCTCGAGGAGGTTCAAGGAGCCCGAAGTGCACCCAAGGTAAAGGCATACAAGGGAAAAACTGGACAAAAATAGCACAAGCTGCCGTGAGTGGCAGCGACTGGGAATCCTGGCCCTCCTTTGTGTGCACAGCAGAAGTGACTGGTCCTCCCCCAGGTTCAGGTTCCCACCTCCCACTGTGGGGAAATGCACCTCTTTATGGGAGAAAATCCAAGTGTCCATCACCACGTTCCCTGTGACACCGTCTGAACACAAACACTTTTAGTGGGTTACACATGAAAGCATGCAATTATAAAGTAATATATGCAAATCTGAAATCTGCTGCATTTTTATTAGCTGCATCAGGTGCAGATGAGTACAGATAAGAGGAGAGCTTTGCAAAACACAGGAGCTCCTTTCTAAGAAGAAATAAAGGGTGTTGCTGGAACACCACTCCAACAACAGCTGCCCTATTTAGCTGGTCATAAAAGCTCAGACAGTTTGTTATTTTGCTCTTAAAAAGAGTCCTCAGCCTTTGTACAGAAAATAGAGGCAGAGTTTGCCAAGCTTATTTTGATCGCACAGAAAAAAACCCAACCACGCTGCCAACGAACCTAAACTGAAAGAATTAAAGATTTCTGGCTAACAGTCTGCTCTGGTCCACACAGGTATCAGCCTGAAAGCAGCAGAAGTGATCTTCAGACAGCTCAGCCCCTCCACACACACCTGCTGTGCAGGCTTTAGGCACGATCCCGACATTCCCACCACAGGCCAGGCGTTCCAGCCCTCAGCACACATGACTCGGGTTCAGTTTTCACTCAGCGAGGGGCACGTTCCCAGAAACCCGAGCACAGGAGTCTGCAGCTCAACACAACACCCTTCCCAGGGGGCAGTCCCACCTTGTGCTGGCAACTTGTAGAACTATGAATAAGTATTAGGATTATTAGCATTTGCAAGTAATTGGAACTAGATGACTATTCGGAAGGTGTGGATTAGCTTTGGAAGGGAGGCCAAATAATACAGGGGCAGGTGAGCATTAGGAGTGAGAAGCTGACACAGGACTTGAGGTGTTCAGACAGGCAGCAGCTGCTGTGCAGGACAGAGAGCCCACAGCTCCCAGAGCAGGGCACAGGCACCCACCACAGCCACAGCACAACTCCGGGCATGACAAAGCAGTGGGGGGGCTGCTGCTGCTCCCTCCCGGGGGAGCCATCACGGGGTATCGCCAGATCCAGAGGAAAAGTTTGTATCCACACTCACCGAGGAGAAGTTATTTTAGTCACAACACAATGAGCTGGAATGAATTGTTGTCCTTTCATTCTCAGTCAGCGTGTGATTCACTCAGACTGGAGCCCTGTTCAGCACTGGCTTCAGCTGACTTACAGAATGACCCTCGTTACCACTGCACTGCGAGGATTTGCTGGCACAACACGGATCTGCCTCTGTCCTGCACAGCCCAGCTCCCCAGCCCTGCTCAGCCCTGCCCCGGCCAGGTGAGCAGGGAGGGTGCTGTGCAGGGAGGGTGCTGCTGCACCACCCCTCAGGGAGAGCCACCTCTCACAACCCTTCTCCCTGCTACTCCTTTCTCTCTCCTATTTAAGAGTTTCCACCTCTGTGAAAGGATTCTTTATTAAAAAACCCAACACTGTACTGGATCAATGGTTCTCAAAGCTGCAACATCTACTTATTTTTAAAGAACTCTTCATATTGTGTACCTACTCTGGGGACACGAAAACCCTTGGGAAATTGCCACTGCTTTCACAGATGAAGGATGTTCAGCCTGGCAATGAATTACCAGCAAAGAAAACTCATAAATTTACAACCTTGGTTCATTTTCTCATGCTGTCCCCATAATTCTTTCATGGCAGAGGTAAGTCACATCAGTGCTAGGCTCCTCTATCCCAGGGCATCCAAACACCCAGTCGGTGCCAGGTTCTGCAATCTCAAGGCATCCAACCACCCAGTGGGGAGAGGCCCACTTACTGTGGGGCAAGTGGTCTGCCCAGTGGCCCCTGTTTGCCTGCTGCTTCCCAAAGAGCTCTCCCAAGGCGGGCTGCACTTCCCAGCACTGGGCAGCAGGTACGGCCACAGAAAGTTGCGACTTGAAAAGCTGACAAGAGCGGGCTGGATTAGAAACCAGGATTTAGATACACAACTCCACCACGCAGGGACCACTGGCATTCACAGCACCAGCACTACTGCAACTGCCATGCAAAGTCCCAGGGCCAACCACTGTTGTGCAGCTGCAGAGACACCCAGACAGGAGGCTGTGCCAGGCAGCCGGGGGCGAGCTCTCGGGGGAGCCCAGCTGACAGAGCACTTGCTCCTGTGCCCAGCCCCGGGTGCTGGGAGTGTGCCAGCAAATACATCATTGGCAGCAACCACAGCAGGAACAGAGAACCAAGGGGAACATCATTATGGCTTCACACTGGCAGAGGGAGGGCTTAGATGGGGTACTGGGAAGAAATTCTTCCCTGTGAGGGTGGGGAGGCCCTGGCACAGGTTGCCCAGAGAAGCTGTGGCTGCCCCTGGATCCCTGGAAGTGTCCAAGGCCAGGTTGGACTGGACAGCCAAAGGCATCAAGGAACGTCCCCACATGTTTTTTCAGTGAGTCTTTGTGACTTCTATTGTCACCTATGAGGGACGGATGTTAGTGGAGCAGACCTTGTGATGTCAACTGAGACAACATTTTTTGCATCCAGCTTTTTTACACAGGGAAATAAAAAACTTTAAAACAATTAGTTACCTTTTTCCCCCTCTATTCTCAGAATCATTATTTAAAACTCAAGCTCAGGATTATTGCCTGGTTCAGGATAAGCAACAATATCACATTCAGCACCTTCCTGCACAGTGTCTCACCCAATTCCCTGAGCTCCAGCAGCATCCCTGCACAGTACCAGCTCTGATAACCCCAGCTATACAGGTGAGTAGCCCCTGCATCCCCAAGGTCTGTCCCTGACAGGGAGCAGGGACCTGGAGGACCTGTGGGCACAGGGAAGTGAGGGGGCTCAGGAACTGCTGCATCTGCTCAGCCTCACGGCCACCACTGCCTGGAGAGTAGCTGGGGCAGCCCCACGCTGCACAGCACACAGCCCCTGTTCCCATGGGGAACAAACACCCTGAAATCACGTGGCACCAGAGAGGCAGGGGACCGTGAACATCTTTAGCTATCTCTAAAACCAATAAGATCAGTCAAATTCTCTCTGAGGAGAGGGCGAGTACCTTTTATATATACATAAATGTTTCACTGCCTGCCAAGTGAAAACGGTGTTTGCATTGCAGTGGCATGATCTAAAATGCAAAGAGTGCCAAAGTGTGCTGATACATGAATAATAAAACATTTTGCTAATGTTTTGCTCATGTCTCCACTTAACTGCTGCAAACAAGTGGCTGAAGCAGCACAGGGGTGCAGCACCCCGCTGTAAATCCTGCAGCACCCCCAGAGGCCCCGTCCCACCCCTCAGGGCGGCAGTGCCAGGCTCTGTCTGTGCCCCCCATGGGCAGACCCTCTGT